GTTTAGGGATTTGGGGTTTAGGGTGCCTCGGGTAACTGTAGGGTTTTTAAAGGGAACTATATAGGATTCCAAAGGGAAGCAAAGGGGTTATGGCTTCGGGACTCTTAAGGGTATTCAGAGCGGCATTTACTACTTCAGGGCTGATGGAAGGCTCTATAAAAGCTCCTTAAAGGGAGCCAAACGGGCTTTTTTCAGGGGAGCTCTAAGGGTTCCAAAGGGGCGTTATGAGCATTCGGCTTTGCAGGGTTCGGGGTTTTAAGGCTTTGGATGTTGTGATTTCTGTTTTAGAGTTCGAAGGGATTTCAGACCTGGCATGCGTAACATATATATATATATATATAGGCCTTACAAGCTATTGGGAAATGAGTACATTTTATTTATAAGAGGGGCTATAAGGGGAAAATCCCGCGAAAAGAACAGTTGCAGATGCAGAACATGCCTTCCTCCGGGTTCCCTAGTCTAATAAAACGTCATTGACTGTTTGATAACTAAACGATGTTACTTAAATTCGCACAAGATTACAACAAAAGCCTAGCCCAAGACCCTATTCTAACTTTCCTAAGGCCCCCCTAGAGTAGGATCCAGAGTTTCGGGTCAATCGTCAACTAGGAATTCTCCATCTATGCCCAGAACCCAGGGGGTTGAGGCTTAGGGCCTAGGGTCATGCGGCATTTTGGGTTCGACATGGTTGTAGCTTTGACATCCGCAGGGTTCCTTAGTGTAGGGGCCTAAACAATTACCAATACGATTTTGGGGCTCCCTTCTCATAATTATAGTATAATGGGCCCCAGAGCCCTGTTCTAATCATTAAGGCCCCTTCGTTACACTTAGGATACTTCCGAGGGGCTCCATGTTTCTTAGATCCGTTAAAGCTTTAGGCAGTGGAGATTTTGAGAGGCCGAGTGGGAATGCACGAAGACTGCTGGCAAACCACAAACTGCTCTCGGGCCGTCGGCTTTCGGGTTTCAGGTCTTAGGATTTTAGGCAGCCCCTGAACCTTGACCTAGGGGCCTTAATGTTTAGTTTTGGGGCCCATTACACTATACTTATAATAAGGAACGCCCAAAATAGTATGACACTTTCGGCCGTCCTCTCACGAACTAACTCTGCGGGTGAGCCACCTGGGATTCTCTTTGTAGCTTTCAGCCCGATGCACCCGAACTCTGGCTGGAAGGTTCGTTTAAGGCCACCCCCTTCAGCTTATTCGTGAATGGCTGCGTCTGCATGATCAGCACCACAACAGCATGAACAATGCATCCCACAGGTGCCATCCAGCTTTCGTCTAAGTGAGGAACAAACGCTTTTAATATCACGGCCTTACAAGCACACTGTCAGAAGTGATGTTGGAATCTGATCTTGACATCTGCACGGCACTTGGTGATTCGGTGTAAAGTGCCGAGCTATCCGACCCTCCAAATACTTAGACGAGGCTTTCGGGGTGTGTCAAAGTGGCTTACGGAATCGTAGTACGGGATAGCAAAGAACATGTTGCCCCATACTGCGAACAATGAATCTAATCCCGAATCGCGAAAGACTTGATGCTGCCTGGGGTTTCTTGAATATGTTCCTAATTGGTGCATCATATTCAGTGATTCCGGTATAGTGATTCTACTAGTTTCGGGCCTGCATTGTGTTAAACTCCCATATGTGCCTGCGCAGCGTCTCTAACTAGCGGTTTCTCGCGCTTGAATGGCCCTAATGCCTGCCCCATAAGCTTCAGAGCGATGTCAAGGCTCGTCTAGGCTCAGAGAAGTCAACTCCCTTGGGGTGTTCTGATGCTTGTTTGGCTTTAACCCGACAGTAAATGGCAAAATCCCCTATAGGCAGACAGTAAGGGACCCTTTGATACACGACAGTTTCTTCTTCTGCCCTGAACCCCAAACCCGAAGATCAACACCAAGCCAGGGAGCCAGCGAGACTGTGTGGGCTGGCCTCCGATCGTATGGGCTCCATGTCCGGTGAACGCATGGCTCTGGGCGTCTCTTTCCCGACGCGAGCAAAGATCAATCTGGAAAACAAGGCGGCCAGGACCTTTCAAGGCAGCCTGAACTGAGGCCTTAGTTAAAGGAAACTACAGGTGGGGAATTTAGGGTATATAGGGCTTCTATAAGGCTTCTATAACCTTCTATAAGGCTCCTATAACGGTAACTACCCACCTGAAAATGTCCTAGACTTATGATCCTTCATAGTGGATACGTTGGTTTTAACAGGAAGGTGGGAGGGGGGGGGTCCGGGTCTCGCAACAAGTCCAATTTTAGGGAGTTTACCCGGAAGACTGTTCCTGCTCCAGCTGCACTTGGTGTCAGAAGCTCGTGGCGTCGAAATCCGAGACATTTTAAGCCTAAGTGCCCAAAGCCATGCCACACTCTTTCTTCTTTCTTTCGACAGGTCGTAGACAACCTACACCCAACAAGGAAATCGAAGAGAATCCTGATGGCCTACCTAGGGATGTACTAGTTACCCGTACGGCCGCTAGGCCCGAGACTAACCGAGACATGTCTAAATAGTCTCCAGGCAAGCTTGAGCCAGCCAAGCTGCGCTCCAGTGCTTCGGGTTTAGGGTTTAGGGGTTAGGGTTTAGGGGTTAGGCTTTACTGGTTTGTGGTCTAAAGGCTAAGGGCTCCGGGTTTAGGGATTCTGGATTCAGGTTGAGGGTTTACGCGGGGCTTCAGTGGTGAGGGTGTAAGTGGCGATAATTTAGATGCGCTTCGGCAACGATTCCGGAAACCCTAAACCCTAACCCCTAAACCCTGGAACCTAAAACCCTAA